TAATTGGACGCAAGAGGCTGAACTAAACCTATTCTCATTCTCAAGGATCTTAAGTTTATGGTTCTAATGTCTTTGTTATCTATTAGAATTTCCCCTGATGTAGGATCATAGAATCTCATCAACAGTGATATTACAGAGCTCTTTCCTGATCCACTTTGGCCCACCAATGCTAGGCTTCTACCTGCTGCAACATGTAAGCTTAGTTCCTTCAAGACAGTTATATGAGGTCTGGTAGGATATCTGAAGCTTACTTTCCTGAATTCTATATACCCCTTGATATCTTCCACTACTTCTGAACTTGGGTCATTGGCATCTATGCTTGTTTTCCTTTCCAGAATAGAGAAAACTGAAGCAAGAGCTTGTGATCCCTTCACAATGTCAGGTGTAAGAGCTAATGTTTCTGCTATTCCAAGTGATGTAATTATCAGCACCATGAATGACTTCATGATATTACCAAAGTTGGAAGCTCCATTCTTGATAAGCTGTGATGCGTACCAAAGACCAAGCGCATAAGAACAAAATGCAAAGGACTGTGATAGGCCATAACCTATTCCTGATATATGACCACGTGTGAAAGCCTTCTTGTTAGGCTGGTCTAGTTCACATGTGAACTGAGATGAAACCCGGTCTTCAGCGCAAAATGCTGCCACTGTTCTGATGTTTGTGATAGCTTCTCGTGCCACCGACGTCGCTCGGGCATAAGCAACGGCATAATTTCCACCAAATCCTTTAAGGAATAGTTGCTGCATAAGGCAAGATAATTAGATGATAGTATTGTATGATCGAGTTTTGTGAGACACTTGTATTAATACCTCAGCTATTGAGGCTGAAATGAGCAAAGGAAAAGTTGCAAGGACGACTGCTGCCATACGCCAACTTAGCGCAAATGCTATGGCAAATGCTGTCATTGTCAGTGAGATATTCTGAATGATGGTTGACATTCGGTCTGCGACTGTACTTCGGACTAAAGTAGCATCTGCTGCTAAGCTCAATGCCAATGAACCACTACTATTCTCATCTTGATCAAACCATGCAATTTCATTTTTAAGGATTGCTGCAAAGAAACAGCATGACGAGTTACTTACCAAACAGTAAAAAGTTAATTATAGACTTCATATTTATGCTTGATCCATACTCCAATGGGATATGATAGAAGCTAAGCTTCTATGTTATAAAATTGGTTATGCTGAACCACTAATGTGGCAGAAGGATATGTGCTGACAGTGAGAGACTTCTATAAGCTTCTTATGTTCTAGCAAGATAAATTTTAGAGTAAACTGGGATGTTGCATGATGTTTTGAAGTTTACCGAGTGCTTTGTCTCTATGTAATTTATCTTTTATTAGTTTTTTATAGATGCATACTTAGTTATTTATCAATGATTTAGCTTGTATTGTATGTGCATTTATTCCTGCATTTCCACTGCCTACTGTACACTTTTCCAGCATTTTCTTGTCCCTGTTTCTAGGGCAACTCTTACAAATGGGTGTGAGAAAATGCATGCAGACAAGTAGTTATTTTGAAAAAGGTTGCCGGTATTTTTAATATGCGGTGTTTACAACTAAATTTGGTTCTATTTGGAATGAAAAAGTGCCAAAATGGTCCATTGATTTTTTGCAGAGGGCATTCTAGTAATAGAAAAGTGTCAAACTAGTCTTCATATTTATTTAATATGGGCTAAAATAGTCTCAAACTCTTTAAAGGGAGGACTATTTCATCCCCAAAAGATTGCCAAAATCCTTGCATTTTCTTTTCACTTTCTAAAAAATTCGAAGATAAAATTGTTCGTATTGTAGCATATCTCATTATTAGAATGCCTCTCAAATCTTTAACTTTAACATCCCTTTTCAAACACCTCGTCATTTTTGAACCACTATTTCATTAAAATATATAGGTGTTTTACTTTTATTCACATATATTTAGTGCCATTCATGCAAGTTACACTTATTCTCTAAAGTGAACATTTCTTATATATTCTCTAAATAAAAATGTTAAAAAAGTTACTCGCAAATAATGAGAAAGTTCTATATTTTTCTATAATTCCCTAGATGAAACATTCCTTGTGAGTCAATCCTATAATCCCAAACCCTTAATTCATGTGAGAAATCTTATCACATGAGAATATGAGCTCTAAGAAAATAGGAATGTTGAGGAACCTAAACAATCACTCTCAACCAAACTAACACTCTAAATCACCTCAATCCAAAACACAACCTTACACTTTAATTTCGAGAATAACACAAGAAAGATCAAGTTTAGAAGTGATTGTCTATTCAATGAAATTGAAAATCCAAAAGAATTTAGATTACTCAACATTCTCAAATAAAATAATGAATTTGAACAGACTCTGGAGACTCTCAAAACTTGCTTACTCAACATTCTTACTAAATCTGGTTCTATTGAGCCTCCTAATAATTTTCATTAATCTACTGGTACCAGAAAGTGTGTTACATCTCATATGTGACTTCTAATCTATAATTTTATTTCTTATAAATGACTGACTCACAATTTTCGCATCTCTGTCATAATTATGACAATTTTATAGATTCCAAATAACATACAGGAAGCTTTCAACCAAGCTAAGTGGAATACTTCTATTCTAGAAGAAATCGGGACACTAGAGAAAAACAAAATTTGAGAAGGCTTGGGACATGTTGAGAGGAAAGACTAATTGGACGCAAGAGGATTTTCACCATCTAGCATGATGCAGATGGAAATGTGGACAAGATAAAGGCTCGCCTTTTTGTTATAGGGTTCGCCTAGAAACAGTTGTTTTCTTAACCTAACTTAATCTCGATTAGAGTTTTGATTTCACTAGCAACAAATCTGGATTGCCAATTGCATTCAACTAGATGCCAAGAATGCCTTCCTAAATGGTGATTTGGAGGAAGATATTAATATGAAAATTTCTCGAGTTTTTTAAGAATCAGGAAAATGCTAAAAAAGTTTTGAAGCTTTGAAATTCATTTTATGACCTTAAGAAATCTCAGTATGCATGATCCTACAGATTTACAGAAGTGGTAACAACATGGGATTGCTTAATGTAAATTGGATCACATCATTATTTCTAACTTTTTTGTCAAAGGAAAAGTCATCATTTCATCGCATATATGGATGATATTGTCCTCTCTAGAGATGATTAGGAAGAGATGAGTAAATTGAAGAACCTTCTTGCTATGAAGTTTGAGATAATTGAGTTCAATCACCTCAAATACTTCTTTAGTTTCAAAATGGCTTGTTCGAAGAATGGTATTTTCATTTTCCAATGAAAATATGCTCTAGATCTGCTAAAAGAAACGTGGATGATTGATTGTGAATCACCTTACACTTATGAATCCAACCATAAAAATGGGTACATGAGAAAAACTCTTGTGGATGAATTTAGATAACAAAGCTTGACTGAAAAGCTTATTTACTTCTCTCATACACGACCATATATCAATTTCTTTGTGAGCATGGTAAGTCATTTTACGAACAATGCCATGGAGAACTCTTGGGAGATGTATATCAAATGACTGGAAGATTTTGGATAGGAATTGCATTTCAAAAAGACTTCAAATAGAGAGATTCATGGATTTAATATTGCAAATTGGGTTGGATCAATCACAAATCGAAGATCAGCTAAATATATGATACTCATATGAGATGGAACTTGGTTACTTGGATTAGCCAGAAACAATTAATAATACCTAGAAACAGAGCAAATGTTGAATTTAGAGCTTTGTGCCATGCTACATAAGCTTATTGGAAAGCTAAGATTGTCAATTGAGATAGCTATGAAGATGTTTTATGATCTCATAGCTTCCATAAGCATTGCAAAGAATTTTTTTCATCGTGACAACAAAACAGGTATTGGTTATCATTTTTATCAAAGAGAAATTAGAAAGCAAAATATCAATTAATAGTTTGTCATCTACCAGTAAAAAAAATAGCAAAGTCAAAGAATTTTAAATTATTAGTTTGAAAATTAGAAGATATAAGATTCTTTTAGTTTTGTTTGATATATACAAGTTAAGGAATTTAAGCCTTTTGTTTTAATCACATTTTTGATACTTAAAAATACGTTGGTGTAAAACTATCAAGTTGTTGGCCCTCACATGATGGCTAAAACTTTTGGGTTAAAAATATGTTTGGCCATTAGTGTAGACTCTTTCTTCGCCATTTCGAAACGCGAGGGGCCATCAGATTTTCTTTGGGACGTTCTTCTTGAATGGCTTTAGAGCCAGGGTCCAAGAATTTTTTTTTTTGTGCAGATAAATTTTTTTGGTCAAGTTTGTGTTTTCAGATCATCTTTTTTTTATTATTTTTTTAATTTAGAAGAAACTTTTGTTCATATTTCTACCAGTTTATCCATTCGTTAATTTTGAGAACTTGATATAAATTTAAAAATGAGCCTTTGATGGGATGCATGCGTGATGCCTGTTATTAAAACCTGAGAACATGCGCAGTCGAACACGTGCGGTGAGCTTCTCTCCCATCAGTGTATAGAAGTAGTGCTGCAAAATATATATTGGCACAGTAATGATTGCTGCTCCAATGAATATCAGAGACACCATCTTGATCTCACTCCTGACATGAAACCTCTCGTGGGAATAAAAAGCAGTCAGAACATGTGTTATCCCAAGAGCAAACAGCGGGCCTTCTGCACCAGCTAATATAGCACCTAGTGATCCAGTTACTGCAAATGGCCACTCTGGTTTGTTTAAACTAATTATCTTCCTGATTGATGGCACCGGCGGTGAACCGGCGGAGCCAAAATCTTGCCTAATCTCCGGATTTCTTAATGTCTTCTGACCAGCTGTCTCTTGATTTCTTTCTACTTCACATGCGTTTGTACAAACTGCTGTTTCAGTTGAATTCCTGGAAAAGAAAACAGAGCTTATGAATGGTTTTAATTCAGTAGAAGATCAGAGAGGACATAAAAAATGCTCTTACATTGTCTCTTTTTGATTATTCGGGCTTTTGCTACAGCCATTGGCTAATAGCTGAGCATGTACCAGCTTGGCATACTCTCCTTGTTCTTCTTTTTCCATCAGCTCTTCGTGTGTGCCACTTTCAGTAACTTTTCCATTGTTTAACACTACAATTGTGTGGGCATTGCTAATGGTGGATAATCTATGTGCTACCACAACTGTTGTTCTGTCCAACTTCACCTTCTCTAATGCATTTTGTACCAGTCTCTCTGATTCGTAGTCCAGTGCACTGGTTGCTTCATCTAGTAGTAAAATCTTTGGATTACGTAAAATGGCTCTGACTATTGCAATACGCTGTTTCTGGCCTCCGGAAAGCTGGAAACCTCCCTCTCCTACCTTGTGTTGTTTAATAAGTTAAGAGGTTTAGTACAGGATGAGGAGAAAATTTAATAGTACCAATCAGACAATAATTTCCAACCTCAGTTAAGTAGCCGTTGGGTAGGCTTTGAATAAAACAATGAGCATTTGCTATTTTTGAGGCGTTAATTATGTCCTCCATGGCTACTTCTTCTGTTCCATATTGGATATTCTTGGCAATAGAAGCTGAAAACAATGCCGGTTCTTGACTTACTAAACCCATTTGGTTTCTTAGCCACTTCAATTGAAGAGACTTTATATCATGACCATCCAGACAAATTTTGCCTGACAAATATTATTAGCATCTGAGATATTTGTAACTTGTTTTTAATTAATCTTAGCAATCAAAAGCTTAAATATTTTGAAAGAAATTAATGATACCTGATGTTGGCTCGTAAAATCTTTCGATCATGGATATGATAGTGCTCTTTCCTGATCCACTCTGCCCCACGATTGCTGTTGTTTTTCCAGCTGTGATTGAAAAGCTCAGACATTCAAAGATGATGCTTTGGCGTGAGGGGTATGAAAAAGAGACCTCACAGAACTCAATTTGGCCTTGGATTTGGGGTAATACTGCTCCATTGGATAGCTCTGATACGTTAGAAACTTTTTCTATCATCCTTATTATAGTACTGGCAGCCACCTGGCCTTTAGAAAGAGAGCTGATGTTTGGAGCAGCTTGTCCAAGAGCACTACAAAAGTAGAACTTACATGTCAACCGTAATATTAGTGTTGGAATTGTTAAATACTGCACCCGTCTTCCTGCTTGGCAGTACTTACAAGCCACTAAAGATGACGTTTAGTATTGTTGTGAATGCTTTGCCACCATTTGTTTTTTTATGCAAAACTAGAACTCCAGCATACCAAAGAAGCAGAGCCCAGGCGCAGAATAGTATACCATATGTGCAACCAACCCCAACCCCTTTTGCAAGTCCACTTTTCCTACCCAGTTTCAGAGCAATTTTGAGTGATCTTGAGTATGCTGCGATGGCCTTTTCTTCTCCAACATACGAATATACAGTACGAACTTGTGAAATTACCTACATATAAAGCAAAGCAAAGGATATTTGAGGACGTCTGTACATTTTGGCAGGGAGTGCATTGGTCATCAGGTGAGTAGAATTGATCTGTTTCAATTCTTCATCTCAGGAAATTGAACTAATTATGATTCAGAACCTATGAAACTTTTGTTAGGTCAAATTGGCTTGATATTTCCAAAATCAAAGTTTACGCTACTCTGGATTTTAGACTCAGTCCAATAAGTTATTAAAAAAACTCTGGAAATTTGAATTCTTTTCTAGATTTCAATAGGCATTTTTTTGTTAATTGTAAATGTTAATTTGGTTTTGTAGAAGTATTCAATGAAAGCTAACAAACCAAAATACACCTTATATTGCAACAAATTGTGAAAAGATTCTGTAAAACACCACTTTAAATGTAAAAAAAAAATGACTGAATTAAAATTCTTTTTCGTTAGAAGGAGATGTGTCACTCAGGAAATGAAAATGAGGATTCTTACTCTCGTTTCGTTCAAACCGAACGACGAGAGAGAGGTAGAGATATCGAGAACGAGAGGGAGAGCAAGAGTAAAATGAAGAAGAAGAAAGAAGGACAAAAACTTCTGTGTGAAGGCAGAGGATTACATTTGGTTTCAAGACGTGGTTGAAGGAAGTAGAAGCCATTAGTGTGCTTGAGAGACTTCACCTGTGTGAAGGAGGCTCGTGAGTAGTGTCGAGGAGGAAGGAACCTGCGTTAAGCAGGTCCAGTGTGAAGAAGAAAGGAAGGGAAGGAGATGCTCGCATGCCTTGAAGAGAAGAATAGTCATGCCCTAACTGAGCAATGAGGAAAAAGAATCAAAGGATTTAGGGCTACCAGTGTCCTGAGAGAGGGAAGAAGGTTCCACGAACATCTGTGTTAGAAAAAAATATACTTGCGGATGAGATAAGTGCAAATTTGGTGGTATTCATCACAATATTATTACAATACCACCAGAGTACCACTAATTCACACATGCAAATTCCGTACGTAATATTCTCTTGTGCGGGAGAAGTCGTGCGGCTCTCATGCAATTGAGAAGAAGAGGAGAAGAAGAAGACATACGTGCGTCTTCTGTGCACGAAGAAAAGAAGAAAATATCAGACAGTTCTTTTTATCGAATGTGAGCCGCATTTAAGTTATGGGAGAATCGAGCCAAATGGTGGATTAAGGTAACATTAGGGCTAGGTTTCTTAACTTTAGTTAGAATCTACTTTACTTTTCTATTAAGGAAATACTTCAATTATTTAACATCAAATTATTATTATTATTAAAACGTTAATAAAATTTATAAGCAAAAGAATAGAGGCTCAATGAAGTTGAATTGTAGGGGGAGTTTTTTTTTTGGTTGTGGCTATTGTGGTGTGCTAGTGGTTCATGGTGTGTTGGTTGTTGTTTAGCCTGTGGCTGTGATGTGTGGTGTTGGCTGTGGCAATGATGTTGGTGGCATTTGTGGTTCCGACTGTTGTGCTGGCCGTGAATATGGTGTGTGTGGTTCTTGTGTTGGTTGTGTCTGTTGTGCTGTGCTAGTAGTATAGGGTGTGTTGGTTTTGCTGCTTCTGGCTGTGGTGTGTGGTGGGTGGTTATTGTGTTGGCTGTGGCAAGGTTGTTGGGGGCATTTGTGGTTCTGGCTGTTGTGCTGGCCGTGACCGTGGTATGAGTGGTTCTTCTGTTGGTTGTGGCTATTGAGGTGTGCTCGTGGTTTAGGGTTGTTGGTTGTTGTGCTGCCTTTGGCTGTGGTGTGTGGTGGGTGGTTCTTGTGCTGGCTATGACAATGATGTTGGTGGCATTTGTGGTTCTGGTTGTTGTGTTGGTCGTGATCGTGGGGTGGGTGGTTCTTGTGTTAGTTGTGGTTGTTATGGTGTGCTGGTGGTTTATGGTGTGTTGGTTGTTGTGCTGCTTGTGGCTGTGGTGTGTGGTGGGTGGTTCTTGTGTTGGTTGTGGCTGTGGTGTGTGGTGGCATTTATAGTTCTAGCTGTTGTGTTGACCGTGAATGTGGTGTGGGTGTTCTTGTGTTTGCTGTGACTGTTGTGGTGTGCTGATGGTTGTTGTGGTGTTGGTTGTTATGTTGCCTGTGGTTGTGGTGTGTGGTGGGTGGTTCTTGTATTGGCTGTGACAATGGTGTTGGAGCATTTTGTGGTTCTGGCAGTTGTGCTGGCCATGACTATGGTGTTGGGGGCATATGGTTTTGGTTGGGGATGGTGGGCTGTGTTGGGCATATGGTTTTTTGTTTGGGATGGTGGGTTGTGTTGGGCCTATGGTTGTGGTTTGGGGCATATGATTTTTGATTTGGGGTGGTGGGCTATGTTGGGCATATAGTTGGGTTTGGTGCATATTTTTGTGGACTGGGGCATATGGTTTTGGTTGGGGGTGGTGGGCTGTGTTGGGCTTATGGTTGTGAGTTGGGTTTGTGGGCTGGGGCATGTGGTTTTAGTTGAGGGTGGTGGGTTGGGCATATGGTTGTGGGTTGGGGGTGGTGGATTTGTGCAAGGGATATTGTTTAGTGTTGGGTTGTTGGCTTGTGCATATATTGTTGCATTTTCATTTACTTATCGTTCTTCTTATTATCATGGTGATACGATGACTAAGGCTAAAGAGGCTATTACACCTGCATTGTGGGATAGAAAAACCAAAATAATATTCTGTGACTTTTGCTTGAAGGAAATAGATCTCAAAAATTGATCCACGACCTTATTCAACAAATAAGGTTAGTAAAATATTTTCAAAAAATTCAATGAAAGTACAGACAGAGAGTATGAGAAGATGCAACTAAATAACATGTGGGATCAACTTAAGAAGGATTGAAAAGTTTGGAAGGAATTGAAATGAGGATCAACGTGTTTAAGGTGAGATCCAGTGAAACAAACTTTGATGCTTCTGAGGAGTGGTGGACATAAAGGCTTGTGGTGAGTCTTTCTGACATGTACCTTAAAGTAGTCAAATAAACTGAAGTAGATGTTATACAGGTGGGCAGACAGTTCTATAGGTGTCTGCAGTGGACAGACGATATTGAGAAGTGTGACCTCTTATGGTGGGCAAACAGTCTGACTGATTCAACTGCCGATAATGATCGGGGTTAGAGGACATCCCTTGAGGACGATGTAGCTCGTGACATACGTCGACTAGATTTTAAAATTAATATTATCATTTTTTAAAAGTTAATTTTAATAATTTTTTTAGTATATTTGATACTCACTGTTATGTGATATGTGTATCTTATTTTTTCTACTATTATGAAGTAGTTTTTTGCTTTTCAAGTATCAAATATATTGTTATGACAGTTCTGTTGCAAACAATATTACTGCACAGAGTCAGAATGATTATTTATCAAGAAACAGCTGCTACACAACTGTTTTCAAACTGTAAAAAACAGAGAGCCATTTTTCTCGCTGCAGCTTTCCCACATCAGCTTCCTGGGGCAGCTGCTACAAACCATCTTATTGGATAAGCTGCATCTACCCCAAACAGACCCTACGTTGATGTGTCAGACTCTAAAATTATTAGAGAGGGTAATTGAACATAGGTTAAGAAGTGATACAAGTGATACAAAGATGAAGTGATACAAAGATTTCTCATAATCAGTTTGGATTTATGCCAGACAGGTCTAGCATGGAAGCTATACATTTTTTGAGAGGTTTGATTGAGAAGTACTAGGAAAATAAGGAGGTACTACATGATTTTTATTGTGATTTCTAGAGAAGAAATGTGTTGATATGACTTATATTCAAGTCATTAAAGACATGTATACTAGAGCCGTTACTTGTGTTCGAACAGCAAGAGGATTGACCGAATATTTTTCTATTTCGGTTAGATTACATAAGGGATCGACTTTAAGCCAATATCATATTGCTTTAGTTATGGATGCTTTTACTAGACATGAACATGAGGATGTACTTAGGTGTGTGCTTTCGTTTATGATATCCTTTATGTGGATAAGACTAGAGAAAGAGTTCAGAAAAAAAACTTGAATTATGGAGGTCTACTTTGGAGTCTAAAGGCCTTCATTTGAGTAGACTAAAAATGAATACATGGAATGTAATTTTAGTAGTACTAGCTCTAGTGACATAATCGTAACTATGACTGATCAAATCATTAAAAGATGTGAACATTTTAGATATCTCGGGTTTATTGTTCAGAACGATGGTGATATAGATTTGGATGTTCTTAGTAGAATTCAAGTTGGTTGGTTAAAGTGGAGGAATGCTTCGGGCCTATTGTGTGATAGAAAATTACCTCTTAAACTGAAAGAAAAATTTTATAAGATGGTGGTGGGACCTACAATGCTCTATGTCTCATAATGTTTACCGAGATGCTTAGGTGGATGAGTGGCTTGACTCTTAGAGACAAAATGCGAAATCAATATAGCCATGATACGGTTGGCGTAGCTCCAGTGATTGACAAAATTTGAGACAGTCGTCTTAGATGATTTGGTATCAGAATTAAATGAAAATATGACACTCAATAAGACGCAATGGAGAAAAAAGATTTATGTAGTCGTCCTCACTTAGTGGGATAAAAGCTTGTTTTTGTTGTATTAAAATGTTAATAAAAAATTATAGGTAGAAGAATAGAGGCTGAATCAAGTCAAATTGTAAGGGGAAAAGAACTTTTTGGCTAGGGAAGCAAACCAAGCCTTTTAAGGTAAGAGTTTATTCATTTTAATCAATGAAATCATACATATATGTGTGTGTGTGTGTGTGTGTGAAAGAGAGAGAGAGAGAGAGAGAGGGAGAGAGAGAGAGAGAGAGGAAAATTTAGTTTAGAAATTGAGGAGTGAATCACTTTGAAGGGAAATGTGTAAATTAATTAATGTTAAAGGTTAATTTATTTAAATTAGAATTAATATTGATTAAAAATATTAAAATATAACAAAAATTAAGACCAAGGTATATCTGTTCATAAAAGATTTGGAGTTATAGATTGTGAAAAGTTACATTGAAGGTGAAAAGCTCAAGGCGAGTAATTACGCTTTTAAGTCATAGTAATATTTCATGCTTATAAATTT